TGGGGAATCAAAGACAGAAAGACCAAGAGCGCCATGGTGGATATGGGCATGATGCAGGTATACTTATGGAGTGAGACTCAGACAGAAAGTGACAAGGACGAGTCAAGGGAGGGGGCGGCCGACATCGTCGCCTACATCTCCCCCATCTCTTCCACAGCCAACCAGAGCGCTCCCTCTTTCAGCCTTCATTCTCTTTTCTTGCTCTCTGGGCGTGCCACATGTACCTGATGGCGTCCATCGTGATGCAAGGTTCTTGTGATAAACCAGCGTGCCGAGGAGAGACTTCAGTCTAGCGGCAGACTTGCATGAGGCTCCCATACAAGCCGTACAAAAGTAAGGGGCTGCGAAAGGCTTATTTCCCAGACGGGTGTATGGAAACGAAGAAAGCCTAATTGTGGATGCTTTTCAAGCTAGAAACGGCCGTGAGTAGCCATGAGTTGAGATGCTAGTGTGGTCGAGTGGTTGTTCAGTGGTTCAGCTCCTCTGCAAGTTTGACATCGTTTGCCTTGGCAGGGCTGCGGTAATGCGGGTGGTCGACACGGATTTTGTGGTGAGTCCTGGGCGCGAACGTTTGTTCTCACTAGTGGTGGCCGGTGTTAGTCAGTTTGCTGTGAATCCGTGTCCGTAGGCAGATCACTAGACCATGTCTGGGGTTGAGTTGCCCGGCTTGAGGCTTGATCAAGGGTTCAGATGGGGGACATTAGAGATTCCGCGTTGACCGGGGGTAAGAGGGCGGAACGGGTGAGGTTGTGGGACCCAAGGCGTCCGGGCTAGACCGGTTCTGGGGACAAGAGTGACGCTCAAGCTGCTAGTGCGCTTCGTGGCGTCTTCAGCTGAGCGGGAGGGCGGAGTTTTGCGCAGTTTACATGCCTGTTGCTCGTCTATCTCGTGGCCGTGAATGGCTGCTTCGTCAAGTTCCTCTCCACTATCTGAAATGGGGGAAATAAGGCTCTGAGGAGTTGTCGCGATAGCAAAGACTCGGACTTTGGCGGCCGTTGGGCGTTGATAAGGGTACTGAGCTAACATGCTAACATGTGGCCATGCCCGTAAAGATAACTTTAGTTGGACTTGGCCAGGGTCCTGTCTGCCGGCTGATGATCATTGCCTTGTTGTATGAGTTTCTCCACACTGATACTAATTTGTAAAGGGCGCAGGTTGTCGTATGATGCTTGATATGACGGACTGACGATGCTACGCAGTGCAGAAGCAGCCTGGTGTAGGTACAACGAATGGCCAATCTTGCCAACTTCCCAGTAGAGCCGGAACCGGCATGAGACACGCGGAGATAAGTCCATGAAGTGCAAAAAGTGATTGAATCTTTCGTTGATCATACCTACTCATCCAATGCAAACCTACTCTGCTGTGCCGCACTCACCACGCCTCATCAAAACCCGTACATGCTGCATGCGCCGAGAAATACATTGCAAACCCACCCAATACGCCCAACTTTTTCGATATCATCCACTCGCCAGTCATTACTTTTTTTTTTTCCTATTTGACTTTGGAGATCTCCGCCGATCGCTCAGCAGCATCCACCCTGGTTGCTGTTCTCGGCTGCCTTCTTGGGGTCCACCTCGGTGCTGAAGGTTCCGTCGACCTTCTCGTTGGGGCCGGCGATGAGGATCTTGATCACTTGACCCTCCTTGACCTTCTTGAAGGCCTCCTCGGCCTGCTTGAACTCGACAATGCCGGAAATAAGCTTCTTGACGTTGACTCTGCCGTTGGCGACGAGGTCAATGGCGAGCTTATAGTCACCAGGGCCGTAACGGAAGCTGCCGCGAGCAGTAACCTCCTTCAAGCACAGAGCCATGATGGGGAAGTTGATGTCGGATTTGCCCATACCACCCTGAACGTAGGTGCCGCCCATTCTGACGACGTGCAAGCTGGTCTGGATAGAGGGCTCAGCGCCGCTGGCGTCGATGACACAGTCGGCTCCCGCGCCGAGGTCGCACTGCTTGATGAGGGCCTTGGCGTTCTCCTCGGCGGAAATGCGCTGGGAGAGGTAGGTGTGAGTAGAGGCGAGGTCTTTGGCGAAGTCAAGCTTGGACTGGACGATATCGACGCTGACGACCTTGGTAGCACCGAAAGACCTGGCTACGGCGGCACAGAGTAGACCAACAGGGCCGGCGCCCATGACGACGACGGAGGCGCCGGGGGTGATTTGAGCCTGCTTGGTGATGTGAACGGCAACGGCCAACGGCTCAATCAGAGCTCCCTCTTGCAGGGAGACGTTATCGGGCAGCTTGTAGCAGAAGTCGGAGGGCGCGGTCCAGAAACCAGCAAGGGTGCCATCGTAGGGGGGAGTCGCCGCAAAGCGCATATCGGGGCAGAGGTTGTAGAAACCAGCAAGACAGTCGCCGCAGCGACGGCATGGGTAGCCTGGCTCAAGAGCGATGCGGTCGCCAACTACGAGGTTCTTTACGTTCTCGCCGACCTGGATAACGGTGCCGGCGGACTCGTGGCCGAGGACCATAGGGTCCTTGACGACAAAGTGGCCGATGGCGCCGTGCTCCCAGTAGTGGACATCGGATCCGCAGATGCCAGTGTAGTTGACGGCGACGAGGACTTCGTGGGGGTCGGAGAGCTTGGGGATGGGGCGCTCGGCGAACTCGACGTCGTGGGGTTTGTTGAGGATGAAGGAGAGGTTCTAAGGGGTGTTAGTAGATGTCGATCGAGCTCCAGGCGCAAACAGGCCTCCTTGATGAGGGGAAACATACGCTTTGTCCCTCGGTGCCGGCCATGATGGATGGATTGCGGGGTTACGGGAAGAGGCAGGATTCGGTGAGGGATGGGGGTTTGGAGTTGGTCGGTGCTCGTTCCACCGAGAGAAGCACAAGATTCACTTTTGGCTGCGCGTTCGTCACAGAGTTTACAGTTTCCTAAACAAAAGGGGTATCGTTGAGGAATGGTAGAGACAATCAGTACGCTGGATGATGGAAGGCCGAGCGAGAAAAGTGAGAGTAGAAGTGATGCTCCGGGTATCGTGGACCGGCGTGCAATGGATTAAATAGCTATGACGGCAGTCCTTGGCCCGCAGAAACGTTGTGATGGGTCAGGATCAGGATTGGAGGGGTTGGAGGGATGTGGAGGGACGCGATCAGGATGGGGAATGCGACCACGTTACGGATGTTCTGGGAGGATGAATGAGCGAGCTGCGCTGTGCCTGTGCCGTGCCGTGGGTGAGAGACGACAAAGATCGCGCATCGTCTCAACTGGTAACCCACCGGTGTTCTGTGCGACTGACGGCTGCCCCTCATTGCGGCGCGTCTTAGACTCCTAGACTTCCCAGTTCCAGCCTAGAGCTGGAGGGAAGCTCCACGTTCTTGTTTATCCCGTGTCATTACCCGTATTCATACGCCCTCATTCCCTGCTATGGCAGTCGAGACTCTTCCTTGACTGTGCTCCAGAAGAGCTATCGCCGGTGCGGGGTGGGGGTAAAAAGAAAAGAGAGGGAGAGGCTTGGTTTGGTGGTTTGGTTTGGTTTGGTTGCCGGGGAGCTTCTCAACTTTTCCCACGTTGCTCCTCGTTTTCGTAAGAACCTGGGGTCTGGTTGTACGATGGACCAAAGCGTCTCTCAAACTGGTCTGAAAGAGCAGATCTCGTAGGGAGATGGAACCGGGGTTGTGGACTTGAGGAGGGCTTCCGGGAGAGCATCAGACTTGTTGACTGCTACCCGCTGGCTTCTTTCCAATCGACCAAAGTCAACAATGTTGAGTCCTCGGATGGCTTTCTCCCAAGCATCGAAATTCGCAGTGGAACAGTTGTCCCAAGGTGTCATAGGCGCGCAACGTAGCGGCATTGTACCCGACTCTAGCGTCCTGTGGCCTATTTATCCAGCACTTTACCCGCGCCAATGGGAACATGTGAATTGGATCCGATAGATGGGTTCTAGTGGGTTTAAGAAAAGACTACAGAAAGATCTGGGGGCGCGGTGGGGTAGAGTGGGAGACATATTCCCGGTCTTGGGTCATGCTGCTTCACCTCTCGGCTGGTCGGGGACTTACCGCTCCTTTCCCTTACCTCAATTATTTTGAAATTGTTTTCTTATCACGTTGTCTGTGACCGAGCGTTTGTCAGGTGCTCGTGAAACTTTTGCTGATGCCTCGTGTTGCTTTTCGGGTCCTCGTCGTCCCCCTTTTCTGTCGAGGGAGTCCACAAGAGGGCTAGATTGCGACTCGGTCATCTTCCCCCCCATCCAGCATTCTCCCATATAATGCGAAGCCCTTCTTTTCTTGAACGTCGGGCACATCCGAACGTTGTGGTACGATTCTTGCAGACACACTCCAGGCTCGTTCCAGGTCTGTTGTATCGCTCGTCTATCGTCGGCCCAATCGCAAAGGCTAGTATGTATGAATGTCGCCAGTATCGCAGTCATATATGTTTGGTGTCAGACAGTTCGGGAAATCTGTCGGGATTCGCGATGTAATGCACGAAGGCACCGATGCCGATTCGATGTCCGTTTCGCGTAGCATCTCTAAATGCATAGCAGGGCGGCACTCTGCAGCCTCTGCTTGAAAGGGAGTCACCTCGATATTTATGCTCCTGTCCGACCCGAACCTTCTAGGCTCTCGGAACACCCTTCCGTCCGGGAGCTGCCCATCTTGGACGCTTGCAGGGGAATCTGTCGATCTGGGGAAACGGCTTCCTGTCGAGTCCACAATCTTAAGCTCCGAGATCGCCCGAATTGGCCTCACGCACCACTGTCATGCCATGACACATGGGGCTCATGTGGGCTGTTGAAGATACCTGCATGGGCGCCCCGCGGAGCCTTTGTGCCACTCTGAGTACCGAATTTTGGGCATTTTCAAGAGTGTTTGCCAGACATCATACTAGTACTAGTCATGAGGGCAACTTGCAAACACAAGAAACAAGGCGAAAGCTCTCTAGGCTAAGCCACAGATGTTTCCCCTCTATCATCTCTATCAAGACTAAAGGAATCGCCTCTTGACTTGTATTCACACACTCTTTCGAGTTTCTCGCCGTTCCTGGGAGTGAAATAATTAAATTTTGAGCTTGTGAGCCTCTTCCAGCAGCTCCTTCATAGACCTCAATTTGAGATCAGGAAAGTCTTGCGTGATGGAGGTCTCAATCTTTAAGTCAAATACACCACGTTCGAACACGAGACCTAAGATGGCAAACATAGGCTGTAGCTGCTCGTCTAAGATGTAAGGATAAGGTGATCTATGGCGAGGCAGTTTCGTCACCTTACCAGCTTTCAACGTTTGGGAAACGTCAAACTTGGCACCTTTGACGGCTTCAGCGAGCTCGATGAGCTGGTTCCACGTCAACTTGTAGCCGATAAGATACGTCTCCCGCTCCCACTTTGGAAGAGTCAGGGCTGCGGCGACGAACTTGGCTAGTTTCGATGCGAAAGTCATGGCCACTGGCACGTCTCCAGAACCCGTAATGCCTGCCTTGTTGTTGACGACGTCCACGACCATAGCCATGCTCGTGAGATGAATTTCGAGGGGCGGTCACACAAAGTAGTCAGCGAAGTGTCCAGGGTACCAAGCCGAAAATTCCAAGTTGGTCTTTTCAAATGCGTCAATGATGAGAATCTTGAGTTTAATGATTGACATCCCCTCCGCGTATCTATGAGAGAAAGAGTATCTTAGTCTTGCTGTCCACAAAGAGTCCGGAAAATTGATGCTTACTCTCTGCTGGATTTGGCGGCCCAGATGCCGGGAACATATCGCTTGGTGGCCGCGGACTGGTCGACAGCAGCAAACAAGTTCAAATCTGGCTGCACAGACGCCATGTTGCTAAGGGTGGACACGACCGTATGCACATTGCTCTCTTCCAAGGCCTTAGCAATATTGACGGCACTGCTATAGTCGACCGGCAGAATACGAGCCCCGATCTTCTTCTCCCTGTCTTCATCCGCCTAGAGTTTTGTTTATTTTAGTGGGCGAGTCGAACCTGCGGCGTTTTGGATCGTGGGAATTATACACACATTACCTTTCTGCTCAAGATGACGACTTAGAACTTCCCGTCTGCTGGAATATCCTCAACAATGGCACGATCGAGATCGCCGGTGCCTCCAGCTACTGCGATAATGGATGCCACAGCTTAGACTGACGATTGCTCGTGCGATGCTGGCTGTGGGGGTTCCAAAAATTGACATGTCAGTGATAAGATAGCGATTTGGTCGGCTTTTGATGGCATAGAAAGTCGTTGAGTAACGTTATGATATGCTTCAATTCTTTATTGACGGACAGTCTATATGCTGTCTCGTTATCTTGCTTCGTCACCGATAGGGGTCTCACCCATCCTGCACCGCGAGTCCGCAAGTCCGCGTCAAGGCATGGGCCCAGATAGAAAGTTGAGGACGGAATTTGAGCCTTCCATATCATACAAAGAAATTATTGTCTCCAAAATTACATGTACGTATAGGAGATCTTAGTGAAAATAGTTTCGACACTTGAACTAGAAGTCGTCAGCAACAAGTCCTAGTCCTCCATACCATGCCCGTAGGAGTGACATTGAGCCGTTGATAGTGTGTAAATAAGCTACGGGGTACAGCTTAAATTTCTAGATGATCATGCTAGAGGCTCACCAAGACCCTTATTGAAGGACTCCTCGTCTCGTTTTGTGAAGTCCTCCACAAATGACCAGGTACTTAAGCAGCCTGGTGCCCTTTTGGCATCAACGTCCCATGTGTATCACGGGATTGTGTGAATACTTCCAATGGCGGACGAGGGCATCTGGGAACATCAAGACGAATACACAAAATTCTTCATGACCATCAATGGTTATCTCTCCGTCTCTCAATATACTCAGGTTAGATTTCTCCAAAGCCCTCTCCTACTCGCAATTGATCGCTAGTATCCGCGAACTCTCGTCACTACTAATGGCCATCTAGCCGTCATTTGTACAAGTCTAAGAAGCCATCTCGGATCTCTGGGAGCTATAAGAGCTAGCCTCAAGCCCTAAGTCAGCTCTAAGCTTCCAGGGTTGGCTGTTTATTTGGAAGAAGGAGTTGAGAGAGTGCGAAGACGGCACTCCCGGGAAGGGGAAGTTGAGCATATTTGTCTGACATTAAGGTCGCCCCGTTAGGACTATACCGAACTCGCTTACAGCTCTATTACCAACGAGATTCCATCTCGACTAGACCTCTCTACCTATAATGACATGAATCGTAAGTCGAAGCGGTTGCGGACGTGCCCGAAATTTGGATCTGCGCCTTTAGACGGAAGATGCCGATGGCTAGAATAGGGCTATTCCAAGTCCCGAACTAATATGGCGCGGTCTTCCTTGTCACCTTTCGATCAGTTGATGTTAAACTATACCTCGTCAAGTTGTTCCAAAACCTTCGGGCCCTACCAATAGAAGTAAAATAGCCTATTTGAAATTCAAATTCACATTTCACATCAGAAGAAGATGGTGTCTTCGCTGTTTATTTTGCTGGTCAGAAATATATGAAACTTGGAATCTCCACGTTCCGCCTATGCACTCCGAGCATTCCAGCAAAAAGCGTTGTACGATTCGTGCGCCAACCCACAACTACACGACTACTATTATTTTAGGCTTCCCAATAGACATGAAATTACTTTGTGATTTCGGCGCGGGATTGTGGGAGAGTCCACCCGAAGGGCTGAAGGGGGTAAGCAATCTTACACACATCAACAATCACCTGCGTTGACGTATCAGCACCACATGCAACCTCGATCGGGCCTAAATGACGAATCATGTATCTTCAGTTCCTGAAAAGCAATCTATTTATTGTCCTCTACAACAAAGCTTCGCACTACATTGATATCCATGTTGTATCGTAGCTCCTAGTGAGCCCAACTCCGCTGGCTGAGAACTGCGGGGATCGTGGGCTAGCACAGCCCTGCCGCGCTCTTCGCTGGCTGTGTTCCGGGTCTGCGTGTCGGTGTTTAATCCGGAGATATTTTTCAAAAGTCATCGTCCCCGTAGATGCGCAATTTTAAAGCACGGGTAAATTTGGCGATGGGGACAACGGCACGAGGTGGGATGAGAGAAAAAAGGCAGAGGAAGGGAGAACACATGAGGTTGACGTTTCTATTAAGAAGACGAAGGACGACTCTCTCCCTCCAACTCATATTACTTTATCAACTCGAACAAATCTGTCAACGGCTACATATTCGCTATCAACCCACACTCTTTAAAATCTAACCACTCTTTTACAACATTCAAAATGAAGTCGGCTGTCATCTTCTTGGCCGCCGCCCTCTTCGGCGCCGTATTCGCCGCTCCCCTCGAAACCTCTCCCAACGAGGCTTCCCAGCTCTTCGCTCGCGTAAGTTACACACGGTCTCAAGGTTCAGATTGTCTAGATTTGCTGACAAGTCTGCTATAACAGAAGCTCTGTGTGGCTGAGGAGGGCATTGCCTGCTACTACGACAGCAACCGGTGCTACTGGCACGAATGCTCCCATTGCAGCTGCGACGGCGTCAACAACGGCGCCAAGCTGATCCGCCGCGACTGCACCGACGCGAAGGACGCCGCCCACTGCATCTATGTCTCCAACCTCAAGGCTTAAGACAATGACTCCGTTATGATGGACTTTGTTTCGGGGGTTTCCGACTACCGAGGTGGAAACGGGACTTGTCTTTTTCTCTGCCGTTAATCAGTAATACCTGAATTGAAGATTCTTACCCCGGCTATTGGTGCGGATGGTCCGTGATCAGGCGGCGCCGCCGACCCAACTTGAAATATTGTACTCTAACCAATTGCAGAGTTGGGGCATGGAAAGCGACTTAAAGCTTCTTGGGCACCTCACTGTAAGACTCTCTGAAGATATGACAGATACGATTGATTCGATCGTAATTTATCCGTCTTGAGATGTTTGTTTTTCCATTTCTGAAATCGGTCCATACGCTTTCCTCTGGATACTGTACCTATGGATCCTCTTCAATCATCATCTTACAGCGAAGCTCTCATTATGCGGACTGAAGTTGAGTCCAGTCGGTGATATTAGGTAACCTCATCCACCAAAGTACAGTAGGGTGTCAAAAGTTCGTGTACACCCTCCCAGTGCGTCACCTATAGCCCACTAATTACGTCTCGTTATTACTATAGATATCTTTCTAACTTAAGTATAAATAATATAATTTAAAATTTTAATAAAATACTTAAGTATATAAAGTATATAAGACTACTTTTTATATATTTTAAAATACGTTATATTGATACTTTATAATATAATATAAAAGTAGAATATAGAATAAAATAGAATTTACTAAGAGGTACAGTGCTATTCGCACTTAATAGGCCCTATAATCTACTATAATAAAAATCTCTTAAAACCTATTTTTTAAAAGATTTATTTAACGCTTTTATAATTAAATAAAACATAGTACAACTTAAATATATACTAATATAATAGCTAATTAGTTATATAGTAATTTTTAAATTTTCTTTCTTATTAAATTCAAGTTTTTATTCGCTGTTGAAAAGTAGTACTTTTGCGGGATACTGTGCGCTGCACACGAACCTTTGACACCCCACTGTAGTCTTGGTTTCTCACTCACAGGCAGCTACCCACTAAGTCTTGGACATTTTTACACTGTAATTGTATGTCAGCTCCGCATAAGCAGCCTGGGGATGTTCGATTCAGTTAGCGATTACCCGCAATCTAAAGTTACACTCTAACAGAATGTCACAGCCCTACTGCAGTCAAGTCCCTAGGCTGTGCTTATTGCCTGTTAGTGAGGACCCCAGACATTTCCTTCCAATGGCGCAGTTGACAGCTACATTTCCAACCTCCATCTACAGGAATGCAATCAAGTCTTGGCTCTTGTGCCGAGATTGCCTTGGATTTGAACTCAACGGCGTTCACTCACCTTACGCAATTAAATGAGCGACGACATGATTCTACGGAGCTGAACACGCCATAGCCATGTCCGATGATAGCTTCAGGTTCCCGACTGATCCGACGAGCGCAGAATCACAGTTCACCCAGCATGACTTGCAGCTCCTAGCACAATCGTCTCCAGAATCGCCTCTCCGAGTTGTTGCACTCGTCGATTACGACTCCTTCTATGCCCAATACGAATCAGTCAGGCTTGGTCTTCCTCCTTCCAAGCCCCTCGCAGTGCGCCAATGGAACGCCATCATCGCGTTGAATTATCCAGCAAAGGATCGCGGACTGAAGAGGACTATCTCGGTGGAGGAAGCCCGTCGGCTCTGCCCAGACATCGTCCTTCAACATGTCCCAACTTGGAGGGAAGGCGATGATTGCTGGAGGTACAGGGCCGACGTTCTGGACAATTTGACGACGGACAAGGCCTCTCTGGACCCATATCGCGACATGTCGCGAAGGACGATGAAGCTTGTGCGAAGGATTCTTCCGGCCACACCTGCGCCTACCATTGAGAGAGCCGGGGTGGATGAGTTCTACGTTGACTTGTCAGCTCAAGTCTACCAGGTTCTGACAGAGCGATTCCCCGGATTGGGATCGCTCAGAAACAACCCCGAAGAGACGCTACCGTTGCCCCCGGTGGACACGTCGCTCGACTGGAAGTCGGACAAAGTGATGGATCTTCCCAATGCCCGTGACCCAGAATACATACTCGACTGGGACGATGTGGTACTGAGCATCGGGGCTAGCATTATTCGCAATATCCGCAAAGAGATCAAGGCGGAACTGGAACTCACGACGTCCGCTGGCATTAGCCATAACAAGATGCTCGCCAAGGTCGCTTCTCGAATGAACAAACCATTCGGTCAAACAATCATCAGGCGCAAATGCATCCCCACCATTATGCCGACCCTCAAAGTGACCTCACTCTCCGGTTTGGCAAGGCAGCTTGGTCAGAAAGTCGTCAAGGCGTTCGGGTCCGATGGCATACGCGACCTACTCCAGGTCTCACTTGCAGAGATGAGATCAGAATTGGGAGCGCAAGATGGTCAATGGGT